CTTGCTGGCTTCTTTGAGCTGAGGCATTGGTCTTTTCTGGACTTCAGACTCCAACTCCAACATCATCTCTTCTGCTGGCTTTTGGATGGAAACTGCATCATGGACTCTGAAACCCAGCTTGCTGGCTGCAGCTCTTGGGACTTTGCAGCCTTCACAATCTCGTGGGCCAATTGCTAATTTTACACACACACACACACACACACACACACACTTATTTCCTGTTGATTTTGTTTCTCTGAAGAACCTAGATGAGTATAGCAAGCCAATCAAAGGCAATGTATAGAAGTAGAAATTGTCCCAATCTGCAGCTCCAAATTTCATTTACTTAGCAATATCATAAATTAGGTATTTTAGAATCCAATTACTTTCTTAGAATAGATTGATAGTGACAGAAATTTGATCAAAGTTGGGGTACAATTTCCCTTACAGGCAAAAGGAATAGCCTGAGAACAGGCAGGGAGGTAGGAGAAAGGGAAGAGCTGCCTCTAACTGGGGAGTAGCTGCTAATGATACTTGACATTTATTGACCTCTTATTAAATGAACCCAGAGCAAAGGAGATTTGCTGACCTAAATACAAGGCACAGACCAGAAGGTTGGAGGTCCAGAAATCAGGAGCCATTTGAGCTTCTGGTCCAGAGGGACTTTTGCCTTTGAGCTCTTTGTTAGTTGGTGTAGGCAAATCTGCTATATATTTTTAAATGTTGTGGTTTAAATAAGAAAGAAGTCTATTTCTCTCAACAGTTACTGCAACAGGTGACCTGTAATAGTCAAGGAGTAGCAGGGCTGTTTCAACACCCTCAATCTTAGACTTCCATGTTTGAATAAGAGGCGATTATTCTAGTTCTCATTTCTTGGACAGTAGAGGGCACGAGGACCAGGCAAGTTCCTATCTTTTCCCTTGAAGATCTTGAGCTGTAAGTGACACATATGTTTTATACTCATATGATTGATACCGGACAGAATTTAATCCCAAGGCCACACTGCATCACAGGAGAGGCGGAGAGGCCATGCTAAAACTCAATGTGGAGTTGGTGCACAACACATCCTGTGGGCTGACTAGCAGTTTGCTATAAGCTCTTAAATATACCTTTTCTTCCATATGGCAGTGGTCAAATCCATTCTCATTATTACAAACATTTCTGCACATAGTCCATGGCCTCCATAGACTGTTCAATCTCCAATGGTAGATGCCCTTCCACCTCTATGGGCTCCTTTGCCAAGGACTGGACCTGGTATAACACATGGAGAAATTGAAAAGCCAATCACATAGCATGCTGCCTAGTTGCTGTGCTGATATCCCATCTTAGGAAATAAAGCACCTATTATGTGCATACAAATAGACACATGCACATATATAATATATAGATTAGCAATAGAAATACTTTTCTGAAGCCTTCATTTTGTTGATTCTAAACTCTGAGATCAAGAGTCTCAGAGTTCTATCTTCTAAACTAAAATAAAATTCTTCATATAGTTGGAGCTAAATATAGAGAAAGAAAAATTGGAAAAATTGGACCTACTTATGTATTTAATGTCTTTTCTTTTCTCAATCTCACGTGTGGCCCACCTAGGAACAGTTCTCCTCTGACAGGTGCCATCACATTAAAGGGTATGTAGTATACCAGGATGAGCCAGGAGAGACAGGGGCTATGCATGGATGTATGCTTCCACCACCACTAGCAACACACCTGCTGTGTTAAGCTTCAGAAGCTGATATTCCATTTTGGGAACTAAACTAAAGCCTGGGCTTTAAACTATTCGTGCTGCCTGGTAATCGAGAGGATTTAAAGCAACAAGGTTTACCTTGTACAGTACCCCATGACCATATTGAGGAACTGTTGAAGCTGCTGTAGAATCACAGAGAACAAGCAATTATTGGTAAGAAGGAGTAAATCTGGAGCAGGTGTTTAGCCCAACTGTTAAGCCAAGAGTTAAATGTCCATATCCCACATCAGAGTACCTGTCTCTTATTCCCAGTCCTATCTCCTGACTTGAGCTTCCTGCCAATATAGACTCTAGGAAGCAGTGGTGATGGCTCAAGTACTTGAGTCCCTGTCTTCTATATGGAAGACCTGGATTGAGTTACTAGTTTCCAGTTTTGGCTCTGGCCCCGTCACAACCATTGTGGGCACTTAAACCACCAAATAGGAGCTCTGCTTCTGTCCGTCTGACTGCCTCTCAGATAAATAAAAAAGAAATAACAAAAGAGAGCAAGAGAGACTATCTTTCAGATCCCTCCTCACTCCCAGCCTTCAGAGCTTGCTGTTGCTCTCAATATAAAATCCAAAATCCTTGCCTACTGTTGGAATCCTCCAGGCTCTTATCACCTACTTCTCAACCGTTTATGAAGTGTCTTTCCCCAAGCCATTGCTCCACCAATACTGGCCTTTTGTAGCGACTGGCTCTTCTGCCGCAGGGCTTTTGTGCAAAAATGTTCTTCCCCAACTTTCTGTCCGTCAGCTCCAACATGTTCTTCCCTCCTCTGCACACTTGGTTTGTGCTCCAACATATTTGCCCTTTCTCAGCACCTGTTGCCCTTCCACAGCTTCTGACTATGTCTTCCTCATTAGGCCAGAAGCTCCTTGAAGGCAGGCACCAAGCATGTCTCATTTATTCCAGGAATCACCATGCCTATCTCTCTGCCAGATGGACACCGGCCTCCTGGGCCATACCTACTAAGTGAACAAATGTCTCGGTGCTTTTAAAGAATTTCCTGAGTCAACTGGGTGGTGCTACCAGAAATGGACTCTTCCTGCTTTGCCTCTTCCAAATCTATCTGGGAAACAGAAGGTTTGAAAGGCATACATGATAGACGGGGATCAAGGGGGAGGGAAGAGGGAGGTAGGAATTTCAGCCAGGGAGTCAGGCCAGGACTCTGACTGTGAAATAGGGAACATTTTCAAGGGAAGTGACACTCTGCTGGAATGCCTCACTTCCAAGGTGGTCATTAATTGTTAACTGTTATGCAGTGTGAATAATTTGTGGAAAACATTGAACCGCGACAGGGTACTACTTTGGTCATTAAATTTCAACTGAAATCCTGACTAATCTCAGTTGGACTCAGCTCTCACTGCACATTTCCTTAACATTAAAACATGACCAGCAGCCACACCTTTTAACAGACAGGACAGTGGTACTTTCAGAGAAGGACCAATGGGAACCTGGGGAATCTGGAGGCCCAGAAAACACTGATGCGGGGGAATAATTTAGTTTGAATCAATGGAATGAGGCTCTATCTCTGGTCAGGTTTGGTTTTGCCTCCTGGATTTGTGTTATTTGGTCAATCGCAAACCAATTATCTATGCATTCAGTTACCATTTGAGTACATTCCATATATTATCCTAGGGATCAAAAATCAGTGGAATTATTTCTGCCTACAAAATGCTTACCATCTATTCAGGGTAATAGGCATGGGAAAAATAAGAGAAACAAAAGAGCAGAGGAATGACAACAATTGATAACTTTCAAATTCCAAATGATTTATCAGCCCCTGGGGAAAGGCAGCCCAGCCTGAAGAATGGGGTGCAGCCTTTTTTTTTTAAATTTTTTTTTGACAGGCAGAGTGGACAGTGAGAGAGAGAGAGAGACAGAGAGAAAGGTCTTCCTTTGCTGTTGGTTCACCCTCCAATGGCCGCCGCAGCTGGCGCACTGTGGCCGGCGCACCGTGCTGATCCGAAGGCAGGAGCCAGGTGCTTCTCCTGGTCTCCCATGGGGTGCAGGGCCCAAGCAACTTGGGCCATCCTCCACTGCACTCCCTGGCCACAGCAGAGAGCTGGCCTGGAAGAGGGGCTACTGGGACAGAATCTGGCGCCCTGACCGGGACTAGAACCCTAGAACCTGGTGTGCCAGCCTGCAGGCAGAGGATTAGCCTATTGAGCTGTGGCCCCAGGTGCAGCCTTTGAAGTGCGCATTCTACTCTCCCTCACCTTTTATACCTCCTGTAGCTCAAGAGGTTTCAGTTTCTCACGTAACTTCACATTCCAATACTTTGTGTGACTGCCCTCTACTATAAGTTAGCAACCATAAATGCAAAAAGCCATACTTCCACTGACTGTAGCAAACTTTGTAACCTTCTTTTCTCAAGTACTCTGCACAACAATTCAGAGTTCTTCATATTCTCAGGCACACAGGGTTCTAGTCCCGGTCGGGGCGCCGGATTCTGTCCCAGTCACTCTTCTTCCTATCTAGCTCTCCGCTGTAGGCCGGGAGTGCAGTGGAGGATGGCCCAAGTCCTTGGGCCCTGCACCAGCATGGGAGATCAGGAGAAAAGACCTGGCTCCTGGCTTCGGATCAGCGCGGTGCACTGGCCGTAGCGGCCACTGGGGGGTGGACCAACGGAAAAGGAAGACCTTTCTCTCTGTCTCTCTCACTGTCCACTCTACCTGTCAAAGAAAAAAAATTAGTGAATTTTATGTAAAAAAATGGTTTATATGACTCCATGCAAATGTCAGTTCTCTGTTAAAATATTAAAATCTTGGTGTTTATATGTCCAAGAATCTATACACAAGATTTCTACTTGATTTCTATACCATTGGGCATTTAGATTTAGCTTACCTAAAATTAAATTCCAGCTACATTACTTATATTTTAACACTAAATTTTATTTCTTTGCATAATTATATTAAATATATTCCTATGACCATCCATAATGATGGGGGCATAGATGCACATATAAATTATGTACTAGTGCAAGAGCTACTGGAAAGAAATACTTCTTTTTGTCTTGGTACGAGCTTGGGAAGATGCAGGTCTACTTATTGCTATGAGCAGCAACCTCCCTCAAAATGCAGTCCAATAATGAAAATAAGCAAAGAACAGCTGAACTCCAATCTCAGTTCTAGTATCTATATCACTCCTTACCTGAAGCCACCTCTACCTGGCACTGAATACAAGCGAGCCCAAAATTCTTTTTGATGTCCAAGACATGGGATGTCTCTTGCAAACAGGAGACCTAACTGATGCATTTTCACAAAAGAAACAAGAGAGGAAGGAAGCTGTGCACAGGACAAGTATAAGTCATTCTTTATTCATTACGGGATATGCTTTTCTTTTTAGAGATAAAATATAGAATCTGAGGTACCTAATTTTAACAAATCCCTTCCTCAGGCTTGATAGCTTGAATTCCTACATCTGGTAATCAAAGTTCAGTATCATCATACACAGTGATTAAAATTGGATCCCTGAGATCATCAAGTTTGTGGCCTTTGGCCACAGAGTATCTTGCACTACCAAGATTCAGGAGAATACACGTGAAATTGATAGTCCTTTAGGTGGTGGAAGAGGCAAACAGCTTAGGTAAAATTCCTGAGGAAAAAAAGGCATAGAATCAAGTAAGCCATTGATTAAATGTTCCCTGACTATGAACTATTATCGCTTCCACATCTCCAAACACTCTAAAACGGGAATTCTTCTTACTACCACGTGGCTGTGCACAAAGCATCTTTGCTTTTGCTAGCAGCCAGAGCCATTTGGATGCCTCAGTTTCCAGCAAAATGCAGAGCTACAGAGGTGTGGACAGTTTCTGTCCAGGAGCAGAGGGAGAAGAGAAAAATCCAGACATGGATACTGAGGAGAAAATGGTTATCCTAACATGTGCTCGGTCAGGCTGCTCCTGCTTCTCAGATGGTTTGTATCATAACAGCTTTGGATCCTCCACAAGTAGGAATGGAGAAAACCTTCCTAGGTTATCACTTCAAATCTCACCCTAATCAAGCCAACAACGCCTACAGTGAATGGCCATCAGCACGTAGCTCCCAGGTGGGGCACACAGAAAGTCGATTCTGAAAGAACAGCAGCTTCCAGCAGCCCCTCCCCGGTTGCAAGAAATCATATTCTGGGAAGGAGCCAGCTTGCTGGAAATGGTCATTCTTAGATTTTGTTGTTGTTCCTCCACCCACCCATCCCCCTAAAATGGCACAATGGAATGATTGTGTTCCCAACTGAGGACTTCCCTTCTTAAAATAAACAAGCAAAGGTCTCCCTAATCTGCCCCATATTCAACAGTGGACTAAGGCAGCCAGCCAGTAGGGCCAGGGGTGGGGTGACAGTGGGAAAGGAAGCCTAGAGGGTGAGCTAGGTGTCAGGCAAACACGCTGTGGGACAAGGTGCTGTAGGGTGTGCAGGCTTCTGAAGACAGTGTAGAGGAAAGCTGAGCATCCGTGGGGTGTGGCCCTTCCAGAGACGTCATTCCATGGGCTTACAGCTTCCCATCCTCTTTCTTAGGTTCTCTTGAGGTAGTTCTGGCAGGCTTTGGCCATGTCTTTCAAGAAGTTAGGAACTCCATTCTGCAAAGGAAGAGAGACTGTCATTTTTATGTCCTCATAGCAGTCACTCTGGCTTCTCTGAGATGTGGCAAGAGGTAAACAAAGACGGCTTTGAGAATAAAAGACAACAGAGCCCCTGACCAGATTTCAACAGAATGTGGGCACAGAGAATGATGAAAGAGATGCCCCAGGGCACAGCTAAGATGGGATGGGATGGCAGGAGCTGCTGTGGCAAGGCACCGCCTTCTATTTTGGCTTTGGTTGGCAAAGAGCGAAGACATTTCTGAGATACCATTTCCTGAGAAGTAAAAAGATGAAACAAAAAACACAGGAAATGGGATTAAATTGGGGTGCTGGATTCTTCTCCCAAAAACAAGGGAAAGAATTTGCTTTATAGAATCAGAAGATGGTAAGGGTTTGGGGTCAAAGAATAGAATATAGTATTATTTAGCTAGTGCTGAACATTGTACCAGAGACATGTCCCAAACATTGCCCTATGGAATACCACTCCCAGGATAGCTCATATCCATCTTTACTTTCAAAAAAGGAAAAAGTAATGACTTCCCTCAATAAAACAAGACAGTCAATAGCAGAGGCAGAATTCAAAATCACATCTGCCTGACATCAAAGCCGTGTGCATTGTCTCTAAGCCAGGTCAGCCTGTCTTCCTCCACCAGACACAGCTACAAGATGCAAAGGCACTGTTGCGCCTCCAGGGAGCAGACTATTGTCCAGAGGTTCCAGAGAGTGATCCTGGCTGGGTCTCAGGGAACTAACAGGGAGGCGCTGCCCTAGCAAGCTAACAATTCTTTGTCTTTTGTCCCTGCCTCTATCCTGGATGTTAGCAAGCCCAGCCCTGACCAAAGTCACTCAACCAAGCTCTTCATAAAAGAGCCTCATTATGCCTGAGACAATGTGTCTCTTCAGCCTGAGAGCCCTGCAGGCTAAGTCAACATTTGTCAAACACACTTCCCCCTCCTGCCTCCTGGGAGCTCACCTTGGCGGCCCAGTTAATGAGCCAGGACGGAATTTGGCCACCCGGGTTATCGAAGTAATACATGAAAACTAGAGGGGGAAAGAAAGGACAATTGAGAAAGAGGGAAAAAAATTGGGACATTCCAGCAACAAAACCCTCTAAACTTTATACTTTCATATTCTAGCCTAGAAAATACAGAGAGAGGTAGCATATAATTCAGCTAGATTTCTGTCTCCAGTGACTTACCTAACAGCATATTTATATATAAGCATTTTCAAAAAACATAGCCACAGGCTCATTCTGCTACTATTTATTAAAAACATGACAAATACGAGACACTCGAATATAGTCTCTCATTTAAGCACCCTAAGCAACTGGTAAAGTTAACCTCATCATTTCGTAATTGACAAAACAGAGACTCATAAAAGCTAGGTGACATACTCGAGGTGACAAACCTACCGAGCATCAGAACTGTGGCTCAGATTTTTGCTGAGGAAGCAAGGCTACACTTGTTCCAATGCAGCAGGTGGCCTCACACCCTTCCCTCTGCCCAGGGTGCTCTTCCCTGGAGACCGCAAAGCAAACACGGCAGGTCCTACCTCTCAGGGTTTGTGCTAACCAAGACCTGCATCCTCCTAGCGGACCTGCCAGCCCTCTTAGCTAGCCTGAAATGAATTTTTAAACCTTCTTGTTGACTTTTTGTGTTTGGCTTTCACCTGGACAATGCAAGAATCAGTGAAGAATGGAGTGGGTCAGATTCAGACACTTAAGTCATGCTCCAGCTAACTTTGAGTGGGTGGATTACGCCTCTCCCCATGTGTATTGCACTAGTGGCCACCCTCTGACCTCCAAGATAAGCTCCATGCACCTGCCACACCTCTCCATCAGTGTGGCCCACGTGCCCCGGCTTTACCTTTGCTTCCCATCTTGCCGTCGCTCTCAATCGCCAGGCTCTGCTTATAGCGCTTCACACGGATCACACCTGGCCTTTCGGGGAGCTGAGGCACAGAGGTGCTCTGGGCCAGGACCACGTGGATCTTCCGCCCTTCCACGTCCAGTTCTTGCCGCTGCCGAATGTACACATACTGCACTGTGAGTTAAGGCATGGCTCCATGAACAGGAAGCAAGGGCACGTGCTGATCTGTGAGCACCTCACATACCTGCTCGCTCTCCCCATCTGCACTGCAAGACTGACTGCTCCTCGTACTACTTAGTATTCTCATTTGAGAGCATGCCTGGAGCAGAATGACTTCTTGATGTCTTTAATTATGCTAAGAAAGTTTTCCTCCTTTCACTAAGAAGGTGTTAGGAGATGGGAGAGGATTAGTCCCTTATCCGTTGCGTGATCCTGCATCTGAGACTCTTTCGCTAAGTAGGACAAGGGAGTAACACTGCTCATTAGGCAAGCTTGGGGGGTCAGAAACAAAGAGTGGGGCAGAAGAAGCACTTGAAAGACTATGGTGTTACTCCTCTCTGTCCTGTTTTTTATGGATCTCTGTGCACAGCAGATATTGAATAAGATGTCAATTGGTGACTTAGGAAGACACTTGAATGCCTGAATATTTAATAGGCACATGCTTGGTTCTAGGTTTCTACTGGTTCAACAAGAAAAACAAAGCCATTTCATCTCTGTAAACATTCACAGAACAACCACCAGTTCCATGGCCCAATCCTAGGCAAGATAATTAAATCCCAAGAATTATGAGTCACTACTCATTGAATTCTTACCACATGAGAAACATCATGTGTTTTACACATATAGCAGATCAAATACAATCTTAAAAAGACCCCATGAGTAGGTACAAGTACCCTCATCTTACACATGACAAAATTGAGGGTCAGAGGACAAAGAACTTATCCAAGACCCCGTAGCCCAGCTGAAGTGATGGAACCTCAATTCGAACCCAAACTCCAAAACTTAGTTAGAATGTCACAGCTAGATGGGGTCCAACTCTTTAACATGTGAAAGTGGCATTGATAATTTCAAAAACAATGTTGGGTTTCACACTAGAAGCAATGAGAAGCCTAAAACAAAAGTCACTCTAAGAACAACACAATTACATTTAGTACAACACAAGAACAACCCCAGCCCCATGCCACCTTGTCTCTGTAGTACCTCCTGTCACCCCATGCCTCCCACTTGGCAATCTATGGCCCCACTCTCCAAGGACTGAGGAGTAAAGTCCTCAGATGGTTCAGGGAAGAGATGACATTACTCTGGTTCTGGCTTTCCTTTCTCTTAAGTCTTTGTCTTTTTCTTATAGTAAATATTGTCATCGTATCACTCTCCACAACTTGTGAACAAGAGACATCACCTGACACCTCAGTGAGGAAAGATTAACTTGACATAGTGACCAAAACTCTGCAGAATGTCTTTAAAGCATTGGCGATGCCAATATACCATATAGCCTACAACTGGAGAGCCGTCAGTTCTCTGAGGCCCGGAGAAGTGAACAGCCTTTTTGAAAGTCACACAACAAACTAGGGAACGTGCTTAGACTTAACCTGGAATCTTTTGCTTCAAAACTAAGGTTCTTTTCTATCAGAATATTCTCTGCTCTGAAGAATTAATAACCCTTACCAGAGAGATCTACACACAATTTGCAATGCATAATGACATTTTGCTTGATGATAGACCATATACACAACAGTGGCCCCATAAGATTATAATGGTGATAAAAAAATTCCTATTGCCTAATGATGTTGTAGCCCTTATAACACATTATTCATGTGTTTGTGATGATGCTGGTGTAAACAAACCTACTGCCTTGGCAGGTGTTTAGAGGACAGCACCTACAATGACATACAATACCTAATACTTGATAGTAATAATAAATGATTATGTTAGTAGTTTACATATTTACTATCCTTCTGTGGTTGTTTGGAGCATACTCCTTTCATTTATCAAAAATAGTTTATTGTAAAGGAGTATGCTGTGATAAGCTGACCACAACCTCCTACGTCTCACGTTTACTGTCCTTGGATTGCATCAAGAGACCAGGTCAAGTGATTGGCCTAGGCCATGTAGGTATGTACAAGTATACTCAAGGATGTTCACAGAGTGCCGAACCTGACACACTTCTCAGCATGTGTTTCCATTATTAGGCAATGAATGGTTGTCCCTATATAAAGACAAAGAAACTCATTACAGGACTGTGTGGCATTGGAAAACCAATGAAATGGAACTTCAAGGAGCCCCAAGTGTCCATTCCTGAGCATACTGAATGGGAGATCAGAGAGGTGAGATCATGACCTGTCAGGATTACCAACAGCTGGACCTGAGTCTCCAACTTGCCTCTGCCACCAACTACCTGTGTGAACCTGAGCAAAGTCCCCAACTTCTCTTGCCCCAGTTTCCTTAACTATTAAGTGGGACAGTTGGTGACAGGATTTAAGACAACCACATAACATTTAAAGGATTCATTAATCAACAATTTGTTGAAATGCAAATGATGCCTGCCCAAATGAGCAGTATGTGGATATTTTTGTGGCAAGAAACAAACTGTTAGGGTGTTTGTAATCTAGTTGGAGGCAAGGACAGTCACAAAAAAAAAAAAAAAAAAAAAAAAAAACAGAAAAACACATACAAACACACACACCCATTTTCCTTCACTTTCTAGAGAGTATTTAGAAACATGAACATTTATACAATATAAGAGCTAGAAAAGGGCCCAGTGAGCATCCAACTCAATGTCTCCCAAACATTTTATTCTACGAGAGCCTTTCTTGGGAGGATCTCCTATGGAAATTCAACTGTAAAACATTCAGCTGCTGTGATGGAAGGAAGAAGTGATGCAGTGAAGTCTCCCCTATCTGTCTGTCATCCTACTCCATCCCGCCCTCCAGCAAATGTCCACTCCACCTTCCCAGGCTACTCTGAAGGGGACTTCTTAGAACCTTGGAGTGCCAGCTAAATTTCCCCACATTTCATTCAACTGTTTCATCTCATAAGCCAAGAAGTGGGGAAAAGGGGCAGCACACCTCCAACATCCAGAGTGAACAGCTAAGGAGGGATGGCCATGGAGTCAACTGACACCAGAAGTAGGTATGGGGAGAGCAGGAAATGTAGGGGCCTGAGTGCCGGCGCCTGCTCCATCACTAAGAACCTCGATGCCTCTGTCAACCCAACCCTTTGGGATCCCATTCCTGCCCTGTAGATTGAGGAAGCTATGTTAAGAATTCCTTACAAAGAGTGCCTTCTGGGTCCCCAATTCTTGGGTCCAACAATTTCAAGTCCTAGGCAGCTAGAAAGTATGAACTGCTCTTCAATGACCACAATTATGGGTGCTCCATGTGGTCTGGCCCAGACATCACATTCTGAGGTCTCCAAAGCCACTTCAGCAAATGCTTCAGCAAACATCAAAGACAATGCTATCCTCTCCTGCTGGGAGACCAGCTCCAGCACCCCTGCACTGGGCGATGGCTGACAGGCACAGAAACACAGAGGGCTGTAGAACAATGTGCTTTGTGGAAAGGATACATCTCTGTTGGACATGGGGAAAGGGTACTTCACCTCCCAGTAGACCACGGTCTCTCCATTGCAATCCCTTTCATAGAGTTCTAAAGGAGAACAAAAGAAGTTAATGCATCTGGAAATATCCCTGGCTGCAACAAACAAGAAGCCTACATAGGATGACCTTGGGGTATGATAAACCACTAGCTCCCAAGGCATAGAATTATCCTGTTACAAAGTCAGGAAAATCAATTACCATAGATACCTTGTTTACAATCTAGAAAACAGAAAAACACAGCAAAAATAAATGAGCCTACCAAAACTTGTCCTTTATATAACACAGACAAGATCATCAGGTTTGTGAAACAAAATCAAGCATCCAAGCATTCTGGTTTTAAAACCAGAATGACCACCAGATGTCACTAGAGTACCAATAGTTTTGCTTTTGAGACCTTTCCCTCAGTTTCTTGACAAACTACAGGTAGATAGCCTGAGACTGAGGCAGTCTCTTAGTCTAGAGCATTCAATGGGTAATGAAGCTTCTGGAACCAGCAATGTCCTCTCTAAACGCTAGCAAGTATCAAGACTAAGTTTCTTGTCTCTTTCCCATGTTTCTTATTTCTCTGTCATATTTCTTCACATTATTCCACAGTACAGGGACCATATTCCTTTAATACTCACTCCATTATCCTACAGCATGCAAACAGTAGTCACTTCTTGGAGGCAGGTAATAAAGGAAGTTAGTGACATACATACCTCTGCCCAGTCTGTGCAGTAAGTAGCTGAGCTAGGACAACTGCAGTAGCCAAGAGTTCTTGAGGAAATGCTGAGGGAGATTAGCTTAGCTTTTAACAAAAAGCCCACTGGAAGCAGATCATGGGCTAAAGAAATTGCCAGCCCATTATTGCCACAGGTGGCTCACAATGGCCCTTGAAGGGAGGGGAGGAATGGACATGCGGTTGCATTTACACGATCCAAGTTGATTTTCCCTTCTCCCATCAGCATTTCAATTTTCCTTCAGGGTATCACCATGCTCTAGGTTTAAGCAAGATTGAAGCTGCAGTAATTCCAGGGCTTGGAAAATGAGTAAGACATGGTCACGGTAATTAATTCATGGATGTGGCTCTTGATCTGAGTCTCAGTTTGCCACCCTAGCAAGTGCAGACCAAAAGTGGCTCAATAAGGCTCTCAGGTACTCATCACATCCAGGAGGACCAGCGGGAAGCTTCCAGTCTCAGGATTGTTCTAGCAAAGCCAAATTGCTCTTTCCCCTCGACTAGACACCCTAGCACAAGCTGTTGATGCTGGGTAGGAAACAACAGGGGATCTTCTCCTAAAGTCAAGCTGCCTTAGCTGTCTCACACACACACACACACAATACATTTTGCTTGTTGTCTGCTTCTTCACATTGGCCTTTTACAAACTGAAGCCTTGTGTGCATGGTGTTGGCAGAGTCTGGCTCAAGAGACTGTACCATGGCAGCTGGGGAGATAGGGCCAGGGAGAGTCTGGCTGCTCCCAAAACAGAAAGGGCCTTTCAGAACCCAAAGTTCCCCAGACGCATGATGAATGCTCACAGGGTATACGCCCATGCTCCAGGCTGAGCTGGTGAGAGCCAGTCCTGGAACTCCAGCTGCCATTGCTAGGAACATGGAGTCTCTTTCCTCTGGGGTTATCTGCATGGTTAGTACCTATGCCTGGATCTTCCGATGGACATATCAGGTGGGAATCTGCCCGAGAACTAGGTCACCACAGAGGACAAGAGAGGTCAGAGATGGAGAAAGAAACATTCTGCAGGAAATTACTGGAGTTTCCAAATGCAGCTGTCCTAGAAGACAGAAGCCCCTGTCTGTCAACACCATGAGCCAATAAACTTTTTTCTTTTCTTCTTTTCTTACTCTTCAGCTGACTTTTTGTTACTTGCAACCAAGAGTCCTGCCTAAAGACTTGATGTGCCCCTAGTGAGCTCTGATTTTCTAGTACCTTCTGCTAGAGATGGCAAAGGTCATACTCCAAGTGCTAGGTGGAACTCTATTTAGCATATTTCATAACTCTATAGAGTAAAACCTGAGGCCAGGTAGCCATGCTAGGCACTCGGGGGTCTGGACCCTCCTCCGTACTTGTAGTACTGACAGTAGAGCAATGGCGAGTTCAGCTAGGCCATCCTGCAGGGGGTGCTTCGTGCTTTCCTGCTTCACTCATGCTACTCTGTGGGTCTAGAATGCCCCTAATTCACTCATTTCCTCATCCCCTCACACACATGTATTCTCATCTGCCTGGAAAACTTTAATTCAACTTCCAAAACAAACCTCAGACTTCATCTCCTTCTAAAAGCCTTCCGTGACCACATGGGAAAGTAACAGCAATGAGAGCAAAGTAGTCCCCAGAGCAAATTGTGGGGTGGGTCTAAGAATATGTTAGCAGCAAGTACTAAGGACAGCAAATGTACCTGTCAGACTTTTTAAGGATAGGTGGTGTGGCACAGTGGGTTAAGCAACCATTAATGGTGCCTGTACCCCATATGGGAGTACCTTGCTCAAGTTCCAGCTACTTTGCACTTCCTATCCACCTTCCTTCTCCTGTGCCCCCTGGGATCCAGCAAATGATGGGTCAAGTACTCACTTGGGTGCCTGCTATGCACGAGGGAGACCCAGATGAACCCCCTAGCTCCTGTTAGCCTAATCCCACCCTGGCTGTTGGAGAAATTTGGGAAATAAACTCTCTCTTTTTTCCTTTATGTCTTTCTATGTGTGGGGTGGGGTAGGGTGGGGTGGGTGGGTGGGTGTGTGTGTGTCCCCCTCTCTATCACTCTGCCTTTCAAATAAATTAGTCTAAAAATGACTCATGTCAAAATTTAAAAGGAAGAACAATTTAGTAGAAATTAATTCTAGTCCTTTCTATTGGTAGAATAAATAAGAATAGATTTTACCATTTACTTTTTTCACAAGTGGGCATTACTCACCTTTAACGTACTGGTCCCACTGTTTTCTGTAGTCTAAGTCCATGTAGACGTCTGCAAGCAGTGCTGGTGAGCAATCCTCCAGAACACCAAAGACTTTATACTCATAAAGTCCACTTTCCTGGTGAAACACATCAGGGAGAAACAATGTATTGGTTCCCAAGTTGGAAGAAAGCTGAACACCGCGTGAAAAACAGCTGGGGATGACCTGCACGCCACCCTGACCTCCTCTGTGGCCTTAAGTGACAGAATGGGAACAAAGCAAATGAGGCCCCTGCTCTCATGGATCTTGTACTACTCAGGCAGGCATTTGTGGTGAGGATGGCTACATGTGCCCGCAAGTAATTTAAACAGGAATTAAGAAGGCTTAGGCGATAATTCAGTAGGAGGTATCTAGGGTCAGGAAAGGCAACCATGGTGGGCAACATTTATCAGGATCTCTTGTTCTAATATAAGAATGAGCCAACCATAGGAAGATGGAGAAAGCCAGTTTCTGGCAGGAGGAAGGCCCTAAGGTTGATGAACAGGATGCCTGAAGAATTTGGAATACAGAGAACTCTGGGCGGCAGAGAGTGGTAGGAACCGAGGCTAGCAAGGCTGTGGGAGACGGACACCACTGGACTTGGTAAACAGATTAAGAGGCAAAGATTTTGTCCTCAGGGAAGGCATTTGACCTCCCAGTCAAGATGCCAGTGGGATGCCCAAATCCTGTATCAGAGTGTGTGGGTTCAAGACCTGACTTTGCCTCCGATTCTAGCTTCCTGCTAATGAGCAACCTAGAAGGCAGCAGGTGAGGGCACACATAGTTGGACAGCCGCCATTCAGATGGGAGACTTGGACTGAGTTCCCGGTTTCTGGCTCTGACCCTGGCCTTCCCCTAGCTATTGTGGGCATTTGGAGAGTGAACCAGTGGATGGAGGCTCTCTTTCTTTCTCTCTCTTCTCTGTCTTTCTATTTGCCTCTCAAATATACAAAATAGTTATTCTTTAAAAATGTATTCTTATTGCTATGGAAAACTACTGGATGGCTTTAAACAGGTGAATGACCAGATCTCATTAGGAATTCAGTTCAGAAATGACCAGATCTGAGTAATGGTTTTTAAAGATCATTCTTGCTGCTTGGTAGAAAACAGATCATAAGCAAACTAAGAGATGGGTTAAAAAAAAAAAAAAGTGCAATAGTCCCTATAAGAGATGAAGATGACACTGACTTGAACCAGGAGGCAGTAAGAGTGAAAGTAACAAGGAGAAGGTGTGTTGGAGTCAGAGTCACCAGGGATTACTGACAAGTTGGCTGCTGGGGAAGGGAAAGAACCAAGGACAGCTCTGAGGCTTTTGTTTGAACAACTAGGTAGGAGGCAGCTCTACTTTCTATGACAAAGAAAACTCTGCGGTGATTTGTGGGCTCTGGAGGGAATCGTGGGTATTCCTGGAGTTTGAAATGCTCATTAGACATCCAAGTAGGGGTGTCATGCAGTCAGCTAAAGTTCTGGGGGGGGGGGTAGATTTTTAAATATGCATGAGGCATAACGAACCCCACCACAGTATTTTATCAGTTCCAAGACAGATAACTTATCAACAAGTGCTTCTTTATAAAGGACTCAAAACGGGAAGAAACGTCTGCCTCAGATCGTCTTAGTTCCTTTTGTTCAGAAAGAGACCAGTTCTAGATTCCAAGTCCAACAAGGGTTGCCTTGATTTCATGTGAAGCCATATACTTGTCCGTGAGGGTCCTGGACCAGCAGTGACCCCACTGCACACATCACTCTCTGTACCATGGCAACTTACAATTTTGACTCTTAAGCCTCTATTACTTTTTCTTTTAAGATTTATTTATTTATTTGAAAGGCAAAGCTACAGGAGGCGGAGGCGGAGGCGGAGGCGGAGGCGGAGGCAGAGGTGGAGGCAGAGGCAGAGGCAGAGAGAGAGAGAGAGAGAAAGGTCTTCCATCTTTGGTTCACTTCCCAAATGGCTGCAACAACCAGAGCTGAGCTAATCTGAAGCCAGGAGCCAGGAACTTCCTCTGGGTCATCCACGTGGGTGCAGGGGCCCAAGCAGTTGGGTTATCTTCCACTGCTTTCCCAGGCCATAGCAGAGAGCTGGATCAGAAATGGAGCAGCCAGGACTCAAAATGGCACCCATATGGGATGCCGGCACTGCAGGCAGCAGCTTCACCCACTATGCCACTGCACAGGGTTCCTAAGCTTCTATTGTTAAGATTAAAACAATGATTCTTAGATTAATGTAAAAGCAAAAGTAGGGGCTGGCGCTGTGGTGTAGTGGGTAAAGCTGCCACCTGCAGCACAAGCATCCAATATGGGTGCCAGTTTGAGTCCTGGATGCTCTACTTCTGATCCAGCTCTCTGCTAATGGCCTGGAAAGCAGTAGAAGATGGCCCCAAGTCCTTGGGCCTCTGCACCTGTATGGGAGACCTGGAAGAAATTCCTGGCTCCTGGCTTCAGCTTGGCCCAGCCCCAGCCATTGCAGCCATTTGGAGAATGAACCAGCAGATGGAAGACCCGCTTCCCTGCTCTCCCCCCTCTGCCTCTCTGTAACTCTGCCTTTCAAATAAATAATCTTTTTTAAAAAATAGGGAAAGTAAACAAAGAAAGATGGATTGTTAGAAGAACCTTTGCTTCGATGTGCTAGTACAGTGTTAATGACTAGTTGTTCATGCCTGAAGTCACATTCTGAAACACCGTGTCATGGGTAAATACGGAGAATACTCTGAGAGACATTAAAGCTTCAAGCCTCCGGCTCGGGTGGCCCAACCCAGGCATAATCACAACCCAGATTAGGAATCTCAGACGTAAACAGAAGTAACCGGCAAGGGAAAACCACAAGTCAGACGTTAAGGACCACGCGGCTCTACAAATATGTAGCTTCACATGAGGGTTTCTAACCAGTGAATGACAACCAGGATATCTGAACTTACTGCCACATCACGGGTGACCCGAGAGAAGGGTGGGCCTCATCTCCTTCTACCTCCTGCCCCCTCTCACCTACACACATGAAAACACAGCAAGCCTTGATACAAGCCCACATATTTACAACCATGCATGTAAATTTTCCTCATAAATTTAAGAGGCAACAAATAGCAGCTTGTTCAAGAACACAGGGACCCTGTTTTCTATAAACACAAGAAAAACAGATATTACATGTTATGATAAGAAAATGCCCAACCTTACATGATTTAGCTTTGTGTATCTGCATAGACTAAGACAAATTTCTTCCTTCAACCAATTCCGTAGCAAACCTTAGTGACCTCAATCCTATACATAGCATAGAGAATAAAAAGCACTCTAGGAAGAGAAAAACGGAAGCATCACTAGAATGAACTATTTTGACAATTTCCCTTATTTTATCTAGAGATTTGCTTGCCTATTTGAAAGGCAGAGTTACAGAGAGAGGGAGGAGAGAAGTTGGTTGAATGCTCCCTTCACGGCAGAACTGAGAAATGCCAGAACGTCAGTGAAGCAGGTGCTCAGTAATGCCTCCCCTCCTCTGTCAATGAAACGCTCTTCAAACTCCCCGCTCAGAACACCTTCTCACCCACCACTGCTTTTTAAAAAGGATCTCACCCACACAGGTGCAGGGGTGCAAGGACCTGGGCCATCTTCTATTGCTTTCCCAGGCCACAGCAGAGAGTTGTATTGGAAGTGAAGCAGCCAGGACTCGAACCAGCATCCACACGGGATGCTGGCACTACAGGTGGCAGCTTTACCCGCTACACCACAACGCTGCCCCCTACTGCCCCTATTTTTTATAGAAGGAAGATTGAACTACTGCCCAAGTTTTCAGGCATCATACCCAAATAATCTGCCTCATTCCATAACCCAGTCCCTCTCACCCCAGGCCAGTTTTTGCACTGTCCTAGGAAAGCAAAACGCATACAACAGGGGGCGGGAACAAGGAACACTGATAAAACACAGCTGGAGAGAAGTGACTGCAGCTCACAGGAGTGAATCATCTCCTGTAGAAAGAGCTGGAAGGGAGGAGCCCACAGGCTCCAAATGCCAGTTTGATCACTTCATGCTGTGCATATGGGTTGAAATATTGCAATGTACCACATAAAGATGTGCAAATGTCACATGTAAATAAAAATGCTTTTAACATAAAAGAAAAAAAAACCATAGAATGTTTAAGAGTGAACCTGAGGCATAATAGGTCAAGACTCCACCTGTGGTACCAGCATCCCACATGGGCACCTGACTGCTCCACTTCTGATCCGGCTCCCTGCCAATGCACCTGGGAAGGCAGTAGAGGATGGCCCAGGTCCTTGGGCCCCTGCACCCACGAGGGAAGCCTGGAAGAAGCTCCTGGCTCCTGGCTTTGGATCAGCACAGCTCCAGCAGTTCCAGCCATTTGGGGAGTGAACCAGTGGATGGAAGACTTTCTCTCTCTCCCTCTCGTTCTGTTTGTCTCTCTTCCTCTCTCTGTCTATAACTCTGCCTTTCAAATAAAAAATAAATCTTAAAAAAAAAAGGATCTCAGCAAACATACTCATTTGCATTTCCCCTTTAAAACACTCAATTAGATTTTTTACAATTATAAAAAATATGTGACATTTTGAAAATGCCAAAACAACAAAGAATGCCACAAATACCTTCTGATTGCATCTGGCATGCAGTATCTCTTTCTTTCTTTCTTTCGACAGGCAGAGTGGACAGTGAGAGAGAGAGACAGAGAGAAAGGTCTTCCTTTGCCGTTGGTTCAACCTCCAATGGAGTGGACAGTGAGAGAGAGAGACAGAGAGAAAGGTCTTCCTTTGCCGTTGGTTCACCCTCCAATGGCCGCCACAGCCGGCGCACTGCAGCCGGCGCACCGCGCTGATCCGAAGGCAGGAGCCAGGTGCTTCTCCTGGTCTCCCATGCGGGTGCAGGGCCCAAGGACCTTTGCCATCCTCCACTGCACTCCTGGGCCACAGCAGAGAGCTGGCCTGGAAGAGGGGCAACCAGGACAGAATCCGGTGCCCGACCGGGACTAGAACCCGGGGTGCCAGCGCCGCAGGCGGAGGATTAGCCTATTGAGCCGCGGCGCCAGCCACTATTTCTTTTACGTAACTAAACATTTCAATGTGTTACAAAACGGGTATAATATGGTATAAACAGTGTGTGTTTTT